TTTTGGATTTAAAACTGCATTTCTTTGGTAGAATGTATATTTTATTCTCATTTTCGTGTTTTTTTTTTGTTTTTTTTTGTTTTTTTTTTTTTTGTTTTTTTTGTAAAATTTGATGTCAATAAACTGATACCAGGAAAATATCATTCCACAGTCATTTATCTCCCCACAAGTATTGGTTCAGTAGGGGTGGCACTTCTGTTGTCCAGTGTGTGTAGTAAGCGCAATTTGTTTTGTAACGCAAATAAGGGGGGGGGTAAGAATAAATGACAAAAGTTAAGAAATGAACAACAAAAAAGAACTATTTAAGAGTAATTGTAATTCAAAGCTGCTTGGACCTGGGCCGATCTAAACAAGTTGGCTGAGCAATGAATTATTGCAAAATCATGTTGGCAAATAAGGCTGTTAAACTCACATGAAAATTGGAAATTTATCGTGTGAAGGAGAACGTCTGAAATGATACCTCAAAATTGTAATTTATAAAGACGAGAAAATGCAAATGACATACAACAATGTTTAATCAAAAGTAAACAAAACAAATTTGAACAATAATGAATCTAACAATAATCATATTCATATATGCTCATTGGTTTCAGAAAGAAAAAAAAACATGTTCTTGGTTTCTACATCGTTGAATTAAAAACTTAAGAATATATAATTATGATAATCGGTACATTTAAATCCAGAGAGAGATACAGAGAGAGGCAAACAACAGGTAGCCAATATAATGACACCTGGCTTTTAGAGCCACTGTACGTAATTTTCCCGCCAAAATGAATTTCTTGAAGTTCTCTCCAAGCTTTGAAATCCCCCACAGTCGTATTCATGAACTGCAATGCTTCTTATATTTCCCAATTAAGACCCAAAAGACAATAAAACCCTTAAGATAAAAATTTTATCTGAAGTTATACCTTGTGTTATTTTTATAATCTCAGTCTCCCTTAGAAGCCATTGCCAGTTTGCAACGTCTGTGTTAAAATTGCTCTTTATACCAGGAAAATTAATTTTGGTAGGAAAAAATCCCATATGGTGGGCCTTTAATTATCTCTACTCTCTGCTACATGCCTATCTAGATGTTACATAACTCGGCTTAAATCCGTGCAGATTTGTAACAGCTACCGTTGATTTGCGTCAGCTGAGAGCAGCTTATCTCGGTTACAATATCCGTACGTGGGTGATATCTTAATTAAACTGTCTACCTGCTGCTAGTTATCTTGCTTGAATAAACCATCACAAACTAACTAAATCTTACTTAAGGCTCTTGGCACTGCTCAATGCCCAAAAGTATGGATAGAAAAATCGCACAGTTTTGGATTGACAATTAGACGCTCTCTTCCTTTGTGCTCTTTCTTCATTGACATACACTAACACAACCCTCTACCAGGGCCAAATATGGGTTTTTTCAATAATTTTTCATTTATATTTCTCTTATTATTCACCAGCTGTGCAAGTTTCTTCTGTGCCAGATGAAGGTTTTTGCGCAACAACGGAACAGGTCCCAGTTTCACATACCAACTTAAGTCAGTTCCCTGTCTAAGTTGGCTAGGATTTCCATGAGAGCGCTGTAACGCCGTTTCTGATAGGGTAAGATGTGGGCATGTGACTATTTAACGTTGGTAATTAAGTTTTTAACCAGGGAACCTGACCGAAGTTTTTTTTATGGAACCAGGTCTCTGCCGTGGCCTCTGGTTTACAGTAATGGTGAAGAGTAAAGTGAACCTTTGCCTGAATACAAAACTCATACAATAAATAAATAATAATAAGTAACTTATACCCAAAACAAAACATAAATAACTAAATAAAACCTAAAAATATCTTAACCTTCGTAACATATCACTATAAGCATGGTTGTGTGTGTGTGTGTGTATGTGTGTGTGTGCGTGTGTGTCCAGCATACGTCACAATTACATTATTCAATTAACAATATATATTTAAAATATAACATTCCAAATCAACAATAATTCAAACCAACAATAAATGGTGAAGAGTAAAGTGAACCTAGGTATCTTTGCCTGACTACAAAACTTACACAGTAACTAAATAATAATAAATACCTAATACCTAAAACTTAAATACCTAAATAAAACCTAAAAATATCTTAACCTTCGTAACATATTACTATAAGTGTGTGTGTGTGTGTGTGTGTGTGTGTGTGTGTGTGTCCAGCATACGTCACAATTACATTATTTACAATATATATTTAAAATATAACTTTCCAAACCAACAATAATTCAAACCAACAATAAATCCTTTATAGTATAAGTACAGACTTATAAGAAATAATATCACAATAATTTGACTAGACATTATTTACCCACCCAAAAACCATTTATTATACAATAGCTTCCTATCGCTCATTTTCCCCATTTCGTTCTATTTTTCCTAGATTTTCCATAAATTTAGCACCAAAAAAAAGGAATGATACTCGCCTTTCATTGTTCATTTCAAAGCATGCTAAGTCATCTTCCAAGATCTTGTCAACATACCGACCGGTTTTATCAAGCAGTGGTACTACACCGTCTCTGAACTGAGTAGAGATTGACCTTTCTGCCGGCTTCAAAAGGCATGTTACATATTTCTCTACTGCTCAAGTTCTTTTATATTTCCTGTAGACCATTAATTTGTATTTCAGTCCGAATCATTCTTGGTATAGTCACCTGATGTTCTCCATAGATATTACGTACAAAATACAGAAAATTTCCATTTCCAAGTCAACCATTTGACATTTGATTGTGTCAGTTAATTGCCGCTGATTTTGTAAGTCCAATTGCCTGTTGCGATCGTCCACAGATCTTCTGGAGACTAAAAGGCCTATACCGTGGGGCCATGTGTTCAGCCGTGGGGCCAAGTGTGACGTGGCACCGCTGTATTGGCCCGTCCATCTGTCCTCTTTTTCGAGCTTTTTCCTTTTAAACGTGGCAACAAACGTCTTAGCATGACGCCACTTTTCTGTCCACGTGGAATTAATAACGTTTTGTAGTTCGAATCCATGGGTTGAAAGCAGAGTTACTTACATCTGCTGCACTCGGTTAAATGTGGACATTTTCTATCAGATGTCGACAATAAAGTCTGTCTCTGTAACTGAGTGTTACATATATAGATGCGTGCCAGAGAGGGAACAGGAAGTTGGTACGTTTGCGTACCGTAGGACGCGTGCACCAAATTTGTGTCACGTTATCAGTTCCTAGGATGATTACTGAACCGTGACTGCTTCAAGGCAGCTATGGTCCGTCACTTTGCAAACGTCAGACCAGCCATGACGGTCACCAGACACGATGTTTATATCTGGCTGTGCCCGTTGTCATTGAAATTTGGTAAAATGCGGAGTGCAGATGGTTGCAAGTGGCTCAAAGTTTCAATACGGAAGATAAAAATATCATCCACATAATAAGTCACACATCGTGCATAAAAGGACACTTCAGTAGAAAGCGTCTGTATCTGTGACGGTGTCTCGAGACTACTGCAGTCTTAAGCGTTCTTTTGTTTATTGTAGGTGTCACAGTCTTCGTAGAACATTCCAGTGTAGGTCCCTCCAATTATGCACTCATTCCTGGTGATTCAAGGAATAAGTTCCCTTCTGTGCGTTACAACTCAGTTAAAACCATGGCGCTGTAACAAGCGTCTTTTCTTTTAGTCTAAGTATAATTACGTTCCAGTCTTGTTCTAGAATAAACTTTGCTGGTGCTATCTTCACTGACATCAACTTCACAAAGCGTTACAATGATTAAAAAATGGATATCTCCACATTACAACGAATATGCGCCATAAGCATAGCTTAAGTCTGGTGGATAAAAATGCACTTAACCTACGATACTGGTACATCACTTATAATTCTATGTAATGCATGCTATTATCTTTGTCTCTGAAAAGCTTGTCAGTTGATTTTGCACATTATATTATGTAGTGCTCAATAAAATTCCTAGTTAAAAATACTTTAAATTTCTGAAAAACTTATAAAAAGGCGTCATTTGTAATCATCATAAAAAGATAATGAAATAGTGGTATGCGCCTCTCATTTCTCTCTCTTATTCATCTAATCATTCATCTAATCAGCTAATCATTATCTAAGAGCTTACGCGTCTTATTGATATTAAGCTTTTTTACATTTATACGTTTGATCGAATTGATATTTCCCAAATAAAAATAAGGCAATTTAATCTATCTAAAGATTAAATATTAAACTACCTCAAATAAACTTAACTACTTGTTTGTGTAAATATATTCAAAATATCGCAATATTCTATCATCAACGTTAAAATTCATTTTATGAACGTTATAATATATATTTCTACTATGATATGTATGTTAATCTAAACTTCATCAAAATATCTATAATAATGACGATTGAAACACCAAACCTAATAAAACACCAACATCCAGTTTTTTATCGTTTCTAATTACAGACGTATAATGTTCTTGGATTCTTTTAAATATTAGAACGTCTTTAGCATCTTAGTACA